GGGACTACAGAGTTTGACAAGCTGTAAAACAAGAAGCTGCGAGGCAATATTTCTAAAACTTGGAGGGACAGGGGCACATTTTTTTAGGTTGACGGCTGGGATCCTTCACCTCCACTTGCCTTATGGCAGCTTAATTTAGAAATGATGCCTAAGACCAGTAATGAGATTATGCTCTTATCGCTCAGTATAACCTCAGTTCTCGGGTTGAAGGGTGGGCATAAAGTGTGCGTACTTCAGATGAGTCGAATGTTGAGCTGGAAGAGATTTCTCGAAGAAAGTATTCAACCCTATCTGCTGTAGATGTTAGGACTTCGAATTGATTGAATAGAGGAGGGATTGAGGATTTGATGTTGTTCTGCACACTCTTGCAGAATAATCTCTAGAAAAGATCTTGCGAAATGCTATGCGTTGTGTCATTCTATCAGCAAACGGTAACTTTGTTTCATTGATGATAGGCTAGCGTTCCTTACGAGCAGTGACAGAGAGCCGTCCGTTTCAATCAGACGTGTCGCTCTGGTACAGCTGGAAGGGGCAGCTGTGGGCTATTGCGACCGAGCATGCAGTTGAGAACCAAGGAAATGAACGCGGTTTAACTTGATATGACATTGCTGGAACGAAAGCATCGATACCGGATCTCACCCAGGAGAAAAGCTCACTCGCGCATTTTTGAACAGTATGATTAAATACTTCATTCCAAGAGACGCCACGAATGAAATCAGAGAACGAGTCCCAATTTGCTCGTTGATAAAAGAAATATATTCAGTTGGTTGGCAGTTCTTGGTTACTGGGGGAATGGAAGGAAATTTTTACAGACACTAACGCATGATCAAAGTTGCTAAGCGGCAGGAGTTGCGTAGTACGACGGGAGTCAGGGAAAGAGATCCGGAAGAGAATAATTTCTGTCAGGGTTACTGGGAAAACGCGTGGGGAAGTCAACCACTTACGTGAGGGATCGAGTTGCCAACGAGGACAGTGACATAGAGTTTAAACCACATGGTGAGCCCTAAAATCACTGAACACGAATATGTTTACAAACGGGTGTAGGGATATGGCTTTCTTTATATTCTATGAGATATTCTCTAGCATGCAACAGTCTTAAGAGGAAGGGAAACGGTAGGGAAAGAAGAGATAGCTGACTGAGTTAAGTAGAGAGTGACGGAGACACATGTAAGAATGGTCTGGAGATTCAAGAGATTTCCCTGGGCCGCCAGAGATAAACTACCAGGCCATCCGTGTGGACTAAGGAGAGGGGTGTAGCCAGGAATCGATAAATCAGAGGAGGGGATTCATTAGTTATAGTTAAATTCGCAGAGAGCTAGGATGTCTGTAGATTTTCGAAGAGGAACGATTCCAAACTGAAGACGTTATTATGAATAATAAACTGTAATGTTCTATGTTCTTCAGGAGGTGGGCAGTCATGGTTCTCTACAATTTCCTATGAGTCAGTTATGTGATGCCATACGTGATAAACGCTTTGGCGATCATGTATCTTTCGATACATGACTGACGAGGCAGATTTTTTCCCCTTGTAGGTTGCCATTTCTTTCTGCGGTAGACCAGTTGCCATCCAAGGGTATAGAACCTGCTCTGTCCTGCTATTTGCCAATAGCTAGTGTGGAGAAGAAGAGGATTCACACTTTTCCCAAGGGTATTAGCACGTAAGTGAATATAATAGATTCGACTAGAATTCGAACTCAGCTCTCCGATTGCTCAATCCGAGCCGCTATACATTACCCCACCGTGCCTCCTATCATGAATGTTAAAAATACAGGCTGTTCCTAAAGATTAGACACATAGACAAAAATGGATATTTTTAAGAGATTAAATTTTCAACAAAATTTTATTGAATTGGAATATTAAAAAATAACAACTTCAATATGATTTCCTTTATTTGTGATGCAATGGTTGATGTGCTTTGCAAGATTAACGTGAACACGATGCAGTAACTGCGCATTTCCTACAATTTTAGAACATTCATTCTTTATACTTTCAATCAAATGTGTTGCATCTGTGATTTTCATTGAGTACACCTTCTCCTTTAGCATACTCCACAAAAATAAGACAATTCTTTCTTCTTTCGACAAAAACATGTTTAATCTGTGGAGGTAAAAATATAGTTAATGGGATTTCCTATGTGTTCAGACTTGAGGGATATCCTGGAAATATCGGCCAAACAAATTATACACACAATGGAGACCAAAATCGATCGACCAGTTTCAAGAATACTACTTAACGCCAAAATGCAGGAAAGCTAAAGGCCATGTTGGCCCAATGTGGCAAAGAAATAATGAAAGCCACATAGCATATCAACAAAATGCAATAATACAAACTAAGGCCGAAGGTCATATTGGACACATACAGTCAAGAAACAAATGAAAGCCACATAATACATCGAGAAAATGCAATAATACTAAGGCCGAAGGTCATATTGGACAAATGCAGTAAATAAACAATGAAGGTCACATAATATATCGACTAAATGCAATAATACTAACTTAGGTCAAAGGTCATGTTGGCCAAATGAAAAATGTAGAGAAAAAGACTAAAAAGTCACATTGGCCAAATGCAATAAAAACAATAAAAAACAAAGACTTTATAGGTCAGATACAATAAAACTAAGTGAAAAGGTCATGTTGGTCAAATACAAAATACAGATTACAAGGGCCAAAGGTCATATTTATCAATTACAATGAATAAATAATGAAGGCCAAAGGACATCTAAAAAGGTCGGAGAATTCATCGGCTAGATTCAACAATCTTCAGGAAGGCCAAAGAATATATTGGCGAAATACAATACTCCTATTACCAATGTTATATATATATATATATATATATTTTAAGCATTTCACCCCAAGCAAGGCAGGAAGCCACTAGGACGCAAGGGGTTACAGAAAATTTAGAGCAAGATCAGATAGGAGTGATAGAAGAAAGGATGAGGGTAGTGGATAGATCAAGGCAACTGGAGATGTCGATTGACATTACACTTGAATAGCTGGAGATTATAGCTCACAGGGAAACAGAAATAGGGAAGGGAGTTCCACAGGCGAGAGGTGCGAGACATGAAGCTATTGGAGTAGAAGAGACGGCTACATTTAGGAGTATATATATATAAAAATGAAGACCATGGTGATATTTATTTCGTTGGGATCGAAGATTCAAACCCAACTCATCAGACCGACTCTTACACACAAATATAAATGGTCAAGGATTTTACCAGGCTTAAAAAATTCAATCAGAACACAAATTATATTAAATATGCAGATTTAAATTTGGGGGAAGTGAGGGAAAGAAAGGGTATGTGTTCAGACAGGGAGAAGGTAAAGAAGAGAACGGTAAATCTATTCAAAACTTAGAGAGGAAAGAAAGAGAGAATTATTTAAGTTGTTCAAAAAGATATGTTGAGGTTGACCTAATTTTCAGATACACACTGCGAAAAGGAACAGACTTCCTCAGATGGTAATAGAGGAAATAGACAATGAAGAAGAAAGAAACAGAAACTTAACTATGGATTTATATTCCTTTTGGAATTTCCATACGTATTACCAGATATTATAATTATACATACATACATATATATATACATACATATATATATATATATATATATATATATATATATATATATATATATATATATATATATATCAACGAAATGAAAATAGCTTATCGGCCACAAGAAACAATACGAAGACAAAATGTTGTATTGACCAACAAATGAACAATACACCTCATGATAGAACAATATCATATTAGCCAAATAAGGGAAACGAATAGTAAAAGCGAAAGAACATATCGGCCAAATGCAATATACACAAAAAATGTCTCGGAATTTATCTGCTAGATACATCGCTCACCATTAAGGCCAAAGAACATATGGGATGGCTACAAGACATATATTACCAATGTATTTAAATATATATGTTAGAGTGTGCAGCCTATATTTTATATCATAAAGAAACAATTTATACAAAGAATTAAATAGCAATGTTAATGTGTTTAATAGCGAAATCGCTTTGCTAAAAAGACTTAAGGAGACACTAACTTACTATCAATTTCTTGAATAATAAGATCCTTATATTCGAGTTGTTGTCAGATGGAAGACACATACCAAGTACTTTTGACAATTTCAAATTGTCATCTTCAGGGCGCATTTTTCCCAAATATAGGCAAACACTCAGACAAAATGTGTAAACAGAAATATTTTTTTTTAATTATGCTATTTATTGACAGTTGAATTTTGGAGCGTGCAATGCCCCGGCGCTAGATTTCTTATTTAAATCGCTCAATTGAGAATTTCTTTGTATGAATTGTTTATTTACGATAAAAATTATATATGTTATATAAGCTAAACGTAAATGAATATATACATCCAGGCTAGACACAAACACATCGGACAGTGTCATCAGCACAAAATAAGCCCCAGTAACATATTGTTCAAATGGTGCTTACAGGTAAGGATGGCTAAAGGTCACATTGGCCAAATGCAATATATACAGTTCGAAAAGATTTGAGGATTTATGCGCTAGATACATCAATCCTCAAGAAGGCCAAAGAATATATCGGCCGAATACAATATACACCTCAAAAAAGCCAAAGTACTTATTTGATCAAATACAAGACGTAGCTAACCCCCCCAAAAAAAAACAAAAACATATGTAACAGATGTAATGTACAACTTATGTGGCGTGCTCCCTCTGGTTGTGTTGGAAAAGAGAAAAGAGAAAATATTGATAACGACAACCTTAACATACCCGCGCTTAATCTAGAGTCAAATCCATTTCAGTCCTCTCTCTTTAACTTCACTCTCTCACTGAGCGTACACCCTATCATTTATCTTTCTTCAACTCCACTCTCTCATTAAATATATGCTCGCCCGCCCATCTCACGGTTGACCCCCATCGCCACACCATTGTAAAATCTAGACAGGTAAGAAGTCGAAAAAACAATAAAAGCCGTGCAGGAAATAACTTATCTAAAAATGGAAGACGATATGCCCAAATATGGAAGTTGCACGAGCGAGAGGAATGGTCGTCCAAATCAAGGCCCACGTGACCAACCCAGACTGCGCACGCGGGAAATTTAACGGTGGCGACAGTTTGGGAATCGACTCGCTAGGTGACGCCACTTTATATAAAATCTTCACTAAAGATGAGATTTAGTCATATTTAACCTAACCGGAAACTGAGTGAAATGAATGCTCGCGTTGAACGTTTCAACTCTTGATAAAGCTTCAACCGAACTGAACCGAACGCGACAGAAGGAATTTCTACGAGACACCAATTGTCTGAGGATTATTCCGACATGAAATCGAGAAGGAATTTAATTAATCTGCTACGGGGACATTATTCTTCGTAAAAGAGTTTATAGACCTCTGCGTTCGGACTTAATCGGCGAGTGAAAAGAAATTTGTAAAATAATGAACTAATAAGAAGAAAAAGATATGAACGGATTCGTGAAAAAGTAGACAAGAAGTGACGCTAATATAAAACAAAAATAATAAAAAAGGGAAAGAAAACGAGAATTTTTAATTTTTCTTTTATTTCAGTTGACGACATCCATTAATGAAAATATGTCATTATGAAAATAACCTACATAATTCCGTATACTTGCTCCCCACACACTTTCTAAAACCCTTTTTTCATTTAATTTATTTTATCGTTCATTTGTTGTGTAAATAAATAGTTTTTGTCCTAAAGCCTTGTGTCTGTTGTTTGTTCCATATCTCATCGCCACATATGCAAATATTCTTACCCCGGGAAAGGATATTAGTTCTTTTTGAACTACATGAGATTACTTTCTTGATCCCATTTATACTGCGTCGGTTTCATGGTGTAATAAATACGTACAGGTAATATAAAGCTAATATACATTTCATAAAGATCTAAGAACTTATCAGTCAGATACAATGTACACGTCAGAACATATTGGCCAAAGGTAAGATACACTTCATAAAGGTGTAAATCTTACCTGTCAGATACGACGTACACCTCACAATGGCTAAAGTACATATTGGCCAAAGGCAAGATACACTTCATAAGGTCTAAGAACTTATCAGTCACATACGACGTACACCTCACAATGGCACAAGAAGATATTGGCCAAAGGTAAGATACACTTCAGAAAAGTCTAAAACTTACCTGTCAGATAAGACGTACACCTCACAATGGTTAAAGTACATATTGGCCAAAGGTAAGATACACTTCATCAAGGTCTAAAACTTACCTGTCACATACGACGTACACCTCACAATGGCTAAAGAACATAATGGCCAAAGGTAAGATACACTTCAGAAAGGCCTAAGACCTTATTGGCTAGATGCAACAATTCTCAGGAAGACCGAAGAATAAATCGTTTAAATGAAAGATACAATTCTGGAATGTGAAATAACATATCGACCAAAGGCAAAATTCACATCACCATGGACTAATTGCACTAATGCAATAATCCTTAGGTAGGCCAAAGAACATACCGGCCAAATGCAATATATAGCATACTATAGAAAATACTGATTAAATGCATCATATACCCCACAAGGGCCGAACGACTTATTGCTTAAATGCTGTATACATTTTACAAACTCCAGTGAACATATCACTCGAAACCCTGTTAAAAAGAAATCTCCCCAAAAGATAAGGTTATTAATTAAGCAGCATATGTCAGAACGAGAGGTTTTTAGAGGTTTGCCCTCTTCATGGATCGATCCTAATGAATACGATCTAAAAACATCTTACGTTAATTTGAGATTTCACACCATAAATGTGTATGTGGGAGTTTAAAATAACGAACGTTGGAGAAAGAAAAGAGTTACGCGTTGCTTAGCGTTATTAAGGCTTTACGACACTTGCTTCTTCTTAATACAATCTTTTCAAACATGGCCACCATTTGCTTTATTTCTTCGAAATATTTCTACAATCTTTTTATTTTACTCGTAGAAATTATTATTATTATTATTATTGTTATTATTATTATTATTATTTCCTTCCTTGTCATCTTATCGGTTTCTTAAGATTTTCCTGGATTTATTGGAATTAGCCACAGATTCTATCTATTGGCAAAGACAACATCTTTCTCTCGTTTCCCGCAGAATAGCCTCCGGCCAAATGACATCAACACTTTTCACTTACCGCAACACCGACCTTCCCGATGTAAC